TGTATATCATGTGACAGAATGTTGCAGAGCTGTGACCCATAGTACAAACATACAGAAACAAGTGTTTCTCCTCTATTCCTCAGGTTCTAGAACTTAGAGTGCTGTTAACACTGTGTATATTGTGCAAAAGACAGGAATTCTTTAGTGATGCCATCCCATCGGGTATCGTGTTATTCAAAGATTTCTGAGCCATCATGTATAAAGATTGTGTAAGGTTTAAAAAAAAGCATAGTAATAAAGCATTATACATTGTATTTCATATATATATATGTGTGAAAGAGAGGGAAATTAAAGAAATATTTGAAGAAACAAAATTTTTTTAAAAATCCTGTGAAGTATAACACAGTGCATTGTTAAAAAGGACTCATTTTGAAAGGGTTAAAATACATGGGAAATTTGATTACAAGCGTTAGTCAGCAAATTATTCAATACTAAAATGATACATGTTTTGTTTTCGATTTCAGGTTGACTGCACATGACTCTGTTAATATATGTAAGTGATACCATATTCAAAAATATATTAAATCTAAAAAAAAAGACATTATAAATACACAGGGTATATATGTTGCTGTTCTTAAGTCTTTACTTTACACATCTGAATCAGGTGTTATGAGTTATCTCCCTGTGTCATGTGACGTCCACACCTTTTAATACATGATAAGATAGATAGATAGATACATAGATGGATAGATAGATAGATAGATAGATAGATAGATAGATAGATAGATACATAGATAGATGGTTAGATGGATAGATAGATAGATAGATACATAGATGGATAGATAGATAGATAGATAGATAGATAGATAGATAGATAGATAGATAGATGAACTTCTACAACATACTTGTCAAGTAATAATAGAACACAATAAAAATGCATGACATTATGTTATGCATTCTGACTGTTTAAACCTTTCCATAAGCTCAGAAGAAGAAAAAAAATATACATTTGAAATAACTACATTGCTTCCTTGATAAAATCTCTTCTCATATTTCTTTCTCTAGGTACAGACAGCATTATCAATAGTTATTAAGGTGTTAGATATTTGTAATTTTGTCATTATTATTTGGATAATAACTTGTAGCATTATTGTGTTTCAGCCGTGCTCCACTCCAGCACTGGAGGAAAACACAACTCAGGAGAGAAGTCCCACGGTACTAGCGACCATCAGCACAGGGGACAATCCAGAGCAAGCAGTGGGAGGAGCCTCAGCTACATCTCGAAAAGCCAACACAGTTCTGGCCACTGTTAAAGTGCAATTCACTAAACTGTGAATTATTGGGAATTCAAATTGAGTTTGACATTTTGGTCCGAAATATCTAAATTGCAAAAACTTTCCATATCAAATTATGTTTGATAGTTTGATTTCCAAATAATTCACACTTCTGTGAAAAACGCTAATAACTATTGATGCTAAAGAGAAAGATTAAACTCTAGTGAAAGCACTAAAGGCATACCAAGAATCTGCTGCAATATTTGTTTTTTCGGGTGCAATTGTTTGTTGTTGTGCTTTTTTTTTCTTCCAGCTCAAACATGTGTCTGCCCCATAACTCTATGTTGAATTGTCTTCATAGCTTGTAAATATAATTACTTCTTATCTGTGATGTTTGTCTGCAATAAAACTTTATTCATTGAACAATCTTAATAATTGTTAGTATTCCATTAAATTATTAATAAAATATACACTGTGATCAGGGTTCTGATAATTAATGCAATATAAAACATGTAGTAATTCACATACAAAAAGTCTGACAAAGTACCTAACTAAAACTGAAGACTTTCAGGACTCTTCTAGTATGTTGAAAACTTAAAGGATTAACTGAGATAGATGAGTCATTCGGTGGGGAAAAAATGGATTCAAAATTATCACAGAATAAACAATATATATATCAAATTTTTTTTTTTTTAAATATGGCAAGTTTAACAATTTCTGAAATTGGATTATACATCCAATATTTTGTTTTTCAATGATAGCTTAATAAGAATAGAACATAGAAAAAATAAATGATTTATAAAATGTTACCTGGATAAATACTATGTTTTGTTTTTATCATTGTTATTTCAAAAATATTATTGGGTTTTAAACAAACTAAAATAATAGAATGGGTGCCAGGGTTACATGACCAAACACCCCAAACAAACATTGCCGAATTAAAAATCATGAAAGAAAATGAAAATGAAATTAATCAAATAAAACATCCACTACAACACAAAGAATCAAAAACATTTGAAACATAAAGTACAACATAAATTTATATATATATATATATTTGTGCTCGGAATTTAATACGTAATGGATAGTATCTGAAAAGGAAAAGTTGGTTGTGGTGTGCGAGCTCAACATGCAGGAGATGAACCCTGTTTATAAAGAGGCCCGCAAAGTGTAATGCTAACTGGGTGTGGGTGGGTGGCAATCAACTGGATGAAACTTGGGGTGGTAGGGCTGGGAGTTTAAGTAGGGGACTTACTCCTCCCCAGGGTCTGCAGTCCTGTGGAAAAAAGTGTGGGAACTCACCCAAGATTCCCGCCTCACCCCCCCCCCTTAAAAAAAAAAAAAAAATTCAATTCCTATGCATATAGTGCAGTGCAGGGTGTGTATAATGAATGTAGTGTGTTTGTAGTGAATGCAGAGTATGAATAATAAATGTAGTGTGTTTGTAGTGAGTGCAGTGTGAATAATAATTGTAGTGTATTTGTAGTGAGTGTGAATAATAATTGTAGTGTATTTGTAGTGAGTGCAGAGTGTGTATAATGAATGTAGTGTATTTGTAGTGAGTGCAGTGTGTATAATAAATGTAGTGTGTTTGTAGTGAGTGCAGTGTGTATAGCGAATGCAGTGTGTATAGTGAATGTAGTGTTTTTGTAGTGAGTGCAGAGTGTGTATAATGAATGCAGAGTGTGTATAGTGAATGTGGTGTGTTTGTAGTGAGTGCAGAGTGTGTATAATGAATGTAGTGTGTTTGTAGTAAGTGCAAATTGTGTATAATGAATTTAGTGTGTTTGTAGTGAGTGCAGAGTGTGTACAATGAATGCAGTGTATGTAGTGTTTGTAGTGAATGCAGAGTGTGTATAGTGAATGTAGTGTGTAGTGAGTGCAGAATGTGTATAATGAATGCAGAGTGTGTATAGTGAATGTGGTATGTTTGTAGTGTATAGTTAATGTGGTGTGTTTGTGGTGAATTGAGAGTGTGCATAATGAATGCAGTGTGGTGTGCTGGATGAGTGTGTCTTGGCTGGATGACGTGGGTGCTGGATGATGTGTCTTGGCGTGCTGGATGGTGTCTTGGCGTGTGCTGGACAGGTATTGACTGGTCGTGCTTTCTGGATGATGTGTGTGACTGCGTGTGCTGGATGATGTGTGTGTGAGTGCTGGTTGATGTGTGTGTGAGTGCTGGATGATGTGTGTGTGTGTGAGTGCTGGATGATGTGTGTGTGAGTGAGTGAGTGCTGGATGATGTGTGTGTGTGAATGCTGGATGATGTGTGTGTGAGTGCTGGATGATGTGTGTGCTAGATGATGGGTGTGTGTGTGCATGGGTGTGTGTGCTGGATGATGGGTGTGTGAGTGCTGGATGATGGGTGTGCTGATTGGGTGTGTGTGGTGCTGGATGATGTGTGGTGCTGGATGATGGGTGCTGGATGATGTGTGTGTGGTGCTGGATGATTGGGTGTGTGTGCTGGATGGGTGTGTGTGTGTGCTGGATAATGGGTGTGTGTGCTGGATGGATGTGTGCTGGATGGTGGATATTGGTGCTGGATGATGTGCTGGATGATGGGTGTGTGTGTGCTGGATAATGGGTGTGTGTGTGCTGGATGGTCGTGTGTGCTGGATTATGTGCTGGATGATGGGTGTGTGGTGCTGGATGGTTGTTATTGTTGTTTTGGATGGATTGTGTGCTGGATTATGTGAGTGCTGGATGATGGGTGTGTGAGTGCTGGGTGATGGGTGTGTGAGTGCTGGATGATGTGTGTGTGAGTGAGTGCTGGATGATGTGTGAGTGAGTGCTGGGTGATGGGTGTGTGAGTGCTGGATGATGGGTGTGTGAGTGCTGGATGATGGATGTGTGAGTGCTGGATGATGGATGTGTGAGTGCTGGATGATGGGTGTGTGTGTGCTGGATGATGGGTGTGTGTGTGCTGGATGATGGGTGTGTGTGTGCTGGATGATGGGTGTGTGTGCTGGATGACGGGTGTGTGCTGGATGACGGGTGTGTGTGTGTGCTGGATGATGGGTGTGTGCTGGATGATGTGTGAGTGTGTGTGCTGGATGATGTGTGTGTGCTGGATGATGGGTGTGTGAGTGCTGGATGGGTGTGTGCTGGATGATGGGTGTGTGTGCTGGATTATGTGTGTGTGCTGGATGATGATGGGTGTGTGAGTGCTGGATGATGGGTGTGTGTGTGCTTTGGATGATGGGTGTGTGTGTGCTGGGATGTGGTGTGCTGGATGTGTGTGTGCTGGATGATGTGTGTGTGTGCTGGATGATGTGTGTGTGAGTGCTGGATGATGTGTGTGAGTGCTGGATGATGGTGTGTGAGTGCTGGATGATGGGTGTGTGAGTGCTGGATGATGGGTGTGTGAGTGCTGGATGATGGGTGAGTGCTGGATGATGTGGGGGGGGGAAGCATTTTTTTACTTTATATATAATATTTATTTTATTCCCCCCTCCCTGCTTCTTACCTTGTCAGGGAGGGGGGAGATCGCCTGGTGGTCCGGTGGTATGCTGGAGGGAGCCAGCCGCTGCACAGAGGGGCCATCACACGCTGTGTTCCCTCTCCAGCTCTAACTCTCGCGAGACTCGCCTGTGCGGAGCGTTGCCATGGTAACAGCCGCGGGTCTCGCGAGAGTTATAGCTGGAGAGGGAACACAGCGTGTGATGGCCCCTCTGTGCAGGTAGCAGGGCCGGTCCTGCAGGACAGGTAACGGGAACGGCGTTCCTGCTTTGGAAAAAGTGCAGGAACGCCGTTCCCATGCGTTCCTGCAGGACTCGAGCCCTGCTCCTCCCACAAATTCAGGCCTAATAGCCTTTCTACATATATATATATATATATATATATAGTATCTATCTATCTATCTTATATATATATGTAGAAAGGCCATTAGGCCTGAATTTGTGGGAGGAGTAAGTCCCCTAATAATTTTTTTCAGCTGTGGATGTCTTTAAAGACATCCACAGCTGAAAAAAATAATTTGACAAATTGAAATGTATTTTTTCCACTAGAATAAAGTTTATTGTGTCACTTAGTTCATGTTTATTATCATCCATAAATGTTCCAGATCAATATAATTTGTGTTTATAAGGAGAGGCGGGTGGGTAAGTAGAGCAGAGTAGAACTGAAGATTCTTAGTTGCAGGGATGGAAGTTAAATTTGGCCCGAGGGAAAAGAAGGATGCACAGTTATATAAAGGAATTTAAAGCTAGTAGTGGAAAGCAGGAGTTAAAATATTTGCCAATTAAATCCTATCTACCAGATTATTAATATGTAGTAAAAAAGGTGGAAGGAATCCGATGAGGTATCTTCTGGATCCCAGTCCATACCTTAAAGCTGCAGTGTTCAAATGAAGATACTTTGTTGCAGGGATGGAAGTTAAATTTGGCCTTTAAACTGCAGTGAGATATACATTTAGCCATATCCAAGAGGGAATTGCACTATATCCCATTAAAACTACCAATATAAAATATCAAATTATACAATATCCAAAGAAACAATCAATAAAAGGAAAAGGTGCATAAAGAAGCATCATTGTTTTCTATTATTCAAACTTTGTCATCTCAAGAACCACTTATGCTATACTATAAAAATTGCTCGGGGATGTTATGATTTGACCTAGATTCAGATTCCACTAAGAGGTATTAACATCTTGATCATTTTTCGTGACAATGCAAAAATGTAGCATTTAGACTGAGTCATCTACAAGGGTTGTTCATCATGGTCAAGTTAGCTTCTATGATCCAATACCATTTACGATGTCCTCCAATTGCATAATTTTGAGTTTATTTCAAAACTGGGCTATGTTACAACTTGCTAAACATAAACACATGAAATATGGCGATCAAAGTCAAATAGTTAAGCAGTTAATTTGAATTTGGCCATGTTGTTTTGATAAAAACAAATAAGAAATTAAAAATAGAACATTCAGGAATGAAATATAAAACATATTTTAAAAAAATACAAAAAATTTATGAAAAATAAAACTCTCCTACACATTTTTTTAACCTATGTTTTGGAAATAAAGTATTATAGAAGATTAAGATGACTAGCTTTCTTTCACTGATGCGGATGAGCATGTTGTATCCAACATATAGTGTAGAGTAGCACTTATACCACTCGTATCTTGTGATTTTCATATAATGGTTACATGAACATTCTTATCCTATTGAAACATATCACAGAAAGATACTTGAAGGCAAATAAGGACAATTAGTGGAAAATAAAGGTAAGATGAACTTGGGAGCTCAATGAATAGGCAGCCATGCCACATATAAGGGTGATATCATGATTAGCGGATTCTTAAATTCAGAAAAGTCAGAATGCATGTACAGAGTCGGCTGGCGGTACTAAGGCCACGGACATCTTCAGGCCACGGACTTGGATCTGAGAGTCCAAGTCCCTCCTATTTGGGAAATAGCAGAAGGCCTTGAACTGATGACGTCTGGTCCTCCGCTTGTGTGGCTTTTCCCCTAATGGCAGACTAGATGGGCGTTTGCTGAAAGTTACAGATGCTCATAGAATTGTTGTGCCCCAATGAGGCTCACTCTCTCCCCTGTCCCTGTAACTCCGGTCTCCCCTCTTGAGTGGTAGCGGTAAGGTTGCTGCACACACTTAATATGTCAAATATTTATTCTAGCTTCAATAGAAAGTGCTCGACATAGCTGTGCTGGTCTGTCTCCCTTTGCATCACGCTGTGCCCAGGCTCTTTGATTTTGTACACACAATTTAGAGATTTCAGAATTTCAAAGTACTCTTTATACATAAAAAAGTACGCCCTAAACAAACAAAATGTAAGAATTGTTATACTTATGAACCAGGCTTCTGCGCAAGCCAAGATGTATTCCAATGCTTTTGAAGTTTTGAAAAACTCTTGACATTGAGGCACACGGGGAGTAAAGGCTAACCCGTCTGGTCTGATCACACAGATAAGCTACTGAAGCTCAAATTGCTGATAATGTTAATTCTGCAGTTGATAGAAAGGTATGAGAACACACAGTGCATTGTAGTTTGCTGTGTTTGGGGCTGCATAGTGCATACCTGTAAGGGTACCCATGATGACTACTGTCCACCACCAACAGCTCCTTTAATAGGGATGTGAGCATCAGAACTGGACCATGGAGCAATGGAAGAAGGTTGTCTGGTCTGATGAATCACATTTTCTTTTAATGTGGATGGCCGGGTGCATTTGTGTCATTTACGTGGAAAAGAGATGGCAGTAAAATGCACTATGGGAAGAAGGCAGGCTGGGGGAGGCAATTTTTTTTTTTTTTAATTTTCAAAGTTTTATTTTGTCTTAAGTATGCATAGGAAATATCATGAATACAATATGAATAAAGAACATTGTAACGGTACAGATTTGTTACATGAATACAATATAAATAAATAACAGTTTAGAGGTACAGGGTTGTCACATGACATCGTTAGATTATGCATAACTTATAAAGGGACAAGCTGTTCACAGTTTGGTATAGCAGATGAATGAGTTAGTGACGTTAGATACAGGTAAGTTAGATAGTAGAGTAGGTAAGAGCGTAAGTGCATTAAAATACTTCATTGTGAAACAAGTGGTTCCAGTGGAACTAGGATAATCGAGACCAGTTGGTGAATTATGTCACATTGGAATTGTCTGAGAAGGATTTAGATTAGTATTCATGGTTCGTCTCTGAATTTAAGAAATTTACCCAGGGTGCTCATATTTTGGAAAAGACCTGGGTATTCTTGCTTCTGGCAAACATAAGTTCTTCCATTTGTTTAATGTCCTCTACTCTACCTATCCACTCTCTAATGGATGGAATCTGTGTTTGTTTCCAGTATTTGGGTATCAATTTTTTGGCTGCTGAGACTAAGTGGTTGAAAAGAGTTGTGTTATCTCTTCGAAAGCCTTAAGGGGGCATTAGGAAAATATAGTGTTGTGGAGTAAAAGGAATATTACTGTTGGTGATTGTTTGGATGAGGGCGTGAATTCTCATCTAGTAATTAGCTAAAGACAGACATTGCCACCAAATGTGAGAGTGGTGAGCTCCCGTTTGTTGGCACCTCCAACATTTATCTGTGGTCGTGTTGTGTATTTTTTTTATTTTTGCTGGCATATAGTGCCAGCGGGTGATGCGCTTATAATTGCTTTCTTGAGCAGTGATAGAGGATGAAGATTTGTGAGCTGTCTGAAGGATAGAACGCCATTCTTGTTGTGTGATGTCTATCTGTAGTTCTTCCACTCATTTTATAGTACAGTGGGGTAATTCTGAGTCTTGTGCCTCTCTAATTAATTTATACATTGTGGATAATATCTTTTTTATGAGTGTATGGGTAGTACATAGTTATTCGAAGGTGGTTAAGGCTCGCATTCCCTTTGGTAGGAGGTCTAGACTTTTGATGAAGTGTACTATTTGATTGTAGTGCAATTGTTGGTTGCCTGTGTGAGCAGCGCTAGGTATGATTTGGGAAAGGCTTTTCAATTTTTTGTCATCAACAATGTCTTTTAGTTGCAACACTTTGCCTTCATGGTACATGTTGTACGTCTTCCCTGATTGTCCCCTTTGGAAGCTGGGGTTATGTGTGATGGGGTAGAGAGGAGATGGGTGGGGCAAAATCTTTGTTGATCTTGATAGTTTGTGCCACACCTGGAGAGTAGCTTTAATAGTCGGGTGCGTGTCCGGGTGGTGTTGTCGTTGTGGTTGATTTGAGTATGTTGTGTTGGGAGGGGATGTGTCCATTCATAGATTCTAGTGAGATGGGTTGCTTTGTGGTATGTTTCAATATCAGGTAGGTTTAGTCCTCCTTTGTCTCTGCTTTTGACTAGTGTAGTGTGGGCTATCCTTGGGTGAGTGTTAGACCAAATGAAGTTGATAAGTATGGATTTGGCCGTTGCAAAGAATCTGTTTGGTATTGTAATGAGGAGTGTCTGAAGAATATATAGTATGCGGGGTAGTATATTCATTTTTATAATGTTGACTCTACAAAACCATCCAAAACAAGGCCTATGCCAGGTGCCTAGATCTCTGGTAATGGTGGTCAGTAGTGGGGGAAAGTTTAGGTCATATAGTTGATCTAGGTTGGTTGGGATGTGGACTCCTAGGTACTTAAGAGATTTGGATGCCCAGGAGAAGTGGAACCTCTCCCGTAACTGGGTGTCTAGGGATCTCGAAGTGTGTATGGGGAGCAGGTCACACTTAGTCAGGTTAGCTTGGAAATTTGAGACAAAATGGTCGGTATTGTGGATGGTGGGTTGGATATGGTAAAGGAGATCATCTGCAAATGCTGTAACGTTATATTCGTGGTTGTTGATTGTGAGACCCTGAATTAGTTTATTATCCCTATTTCCTTGTAGAAATTGTTCGAGCACCAATATGAACAAGAGAGGTGACAATGGGCATCCCTGTCTCGTTCCATTTGTGATGGTTACTGGGTGTGAGAGCTGGCCGTTGACGCAAAGTCAGGCCATGGGCGACGAGTAGATGGCTGCCAGCCATTCCTGCCATCTCGGCCCAAAGCCCAGAAATCGCATTGTGTGAGTGAGTAGTGACCAGTTAACTCTATCAAATGCCTTTTTGGCATCAATAGGGTAGGGTACTATGTATTTTATGTTTTTGGGCCCAATGCATTAGGTTCACAATTTTTGTTGTGTTGTGTAGAATATTGCATATTCTATGTTTCTATTGATTATATGTGGATGTGTGGATTGACAAGTAACAGATGGTCACAAGGCTTTCTTTGTTCGAGAGCTCTGGAATGTAGATTTGGGGGTCTTGTCCTTATATGGCTAGAGTTAAAGTCTGACATCAGTATGGGCACATCTATATAGTGACAGAGGGACACACGGTCTCTCTCTCTCTTGGCTCTCTCTCGATGTAAAGATCTAAGGATGTAACGCTCCCATCAGGAGTCCAGCAATTACCATCTGCTGTTGA